ATCATTTCAGTTTAATTCCGTATTGCTTTCAATTCAACTCCTCTGAGTTTTTTGTAGTTCTTTTTTTTTAATTTTCTTTTTTTTGTTGCTTTTTATTATTACACTAGATTTAATATATATATCATTTAATTAATTTTTGCGGTCATTAAAAAGTCAATAACAACAACAGTATCAGTGAACTATTCTGCCTTTAGTACAGCTTACGGTTAACAACATATATAAATGAAATGATTTATATTACAATTATTTAATATAATAAATTTATTATTGAAAGCAGCACAACAACATAATCAATAAGTGTTTGTCTGTTATTATAGTTTTAAATAAATGAATAAATATTTATATCAATAGTATCAAAGGATATTAATATTCATATTAATATAATTATATTAGTTTCGCATAATAATTTAACTTTTGCTCTCCGTTTTGATTTATTGCATTCACTATCACAAAACACTAAAATCTATCGAGTATGAGCAGAATTTAGCCAATCCCGGAATATGTAATTACAAAAACAATTATTGTAAATGAGCGCGAAGAGTCTTTAAAGTGTTTTGCATTGTGCCTCAAGCGAGAAGTAAAGTCTTCCAATCGTGTCTGTTTAGTTTTGAATACTGTTTCTCTCGCTAAACAAGTGGTTAGACATTATCCGATTACTAGTACAGACGGAATACGTTATTATGTATTCAAGTGGCCACCACTTGAAATTACGCACAACCGACCGAATAGCCTACCTTAAGAGAAACCGGTTATCAAATATTACGAAAGCAATCATTACTTATCATGATCATATATTACCTTACCCGGCATACATCTCATGGCGTTCATTGAGAAAATTGCGGATTATTTAAGAGAATGTGCTGTGGCGTTTGCTACAAGAGGCAATGAAAGTAATTTGTGTTTATCATTTATCCAATTAGTTGTAGATTAAATAAAGGCGATCATCAACTTTTCACTGCAATGCGAACATTCTTTGCTTAGAAATACTCACCTACACCTTTCCTCATATTTCGTTTTGTTTGTGCTTAGCTAATGCCAAACTGACTGGTCTTTCCTCGTAAGTATTCACTTAGGTATGTGAACTGTTTTTCACTAAGCATTCGTATCTATTAGGTGTAGAAATAAGTTCTGTGTATTGAAATTGAATGGTTTACAGAACATATCTGTCGCGTGCATTTCTCTCGCCCTTTCAGGTATAGATAAATTTTACATTGATAATTGTACGGTATAAGTTTCAATTTAATTATATAGAAGTTGTCTTCTTATTCTGTTTTCAACTGAGAAAAACAATGCGGCTAAAGTTACTGTAATGATTAAGTTGGCTTGGGCTGAAAATGTAGTAAGCAGGGAAACAGTTGGTAAGCCTTGATGGCGAGAAAGCTTTTCAAAAGGTGCTAGATGAAGAATTTCATCAAATTATTACGTGCAGCACGAAATGAATCCTATACGACAATCCTGGACAAAACGAAAGCATGAGTTGGTCCAGTGTAGCCATTCACGTCCCTTGCAAATCCGATTTTTCATGCCCAGAAAATGCTACTGCGCTCTTGGTGGGACTGTAAAGTAATCATCTGCTGCGAAATTCTAAAACTGTTACATCTGAACGATACAAAGCCCAAAGAACTCGAAAAATCAATCCAGGAGCACAGGAAGTGATCTTTAACTTGGGCTAAGAACTTCCACTGCACGAGGCTTAGTCTGCAAACCTGCTTTGTGCCGATTGCCGCATGCTCAGATCGATGCAGCAAATCAAGAGTTCACAGCGGTGTGCAAACCCGGTAAACCTCGAAACCACGAGAGATTTCCATGGCGACGGTACCAGTTAAGTGGCAAAAAGTCGAAGATGGTGACTGTGTGCATCTCGATTAGTAAACTTTGTAACGAGTACTTTTTAATGAATTTTCTTGCACACCTATTACTTGCGTGGACTTTCGCTCGACATGTGGTACGCGTGCTAGGGAGCATTCATTCATTTGTATAAAACTATTATTAGAACACTATTTGATTATTTCTTTTTTCTTGCTGCTTGCTTAATGGTTTCTTTATTTTTAATTATTTTCTCTGGAATAATTTAGTTTAAGCTTTTACTTTTCTTTATTGAAAAGTAAAAGAAAAACCTACTCTCTTAACCAGTTAGTTCTCATTGTTGGGAAATACTCGGAGTTATGGGAAAATGGTAGTATTTTGTAATACATTATTTTTTGTGGCATAAATTTAGCGCATATTTTTCAAGGCGGTCGCAACAACTAAAATTAATGATACATTATGCTTTAGAAGTTTTTATGTTGTTCTTCAATGTTGTTATTGGCTGAAAATGTTTCGCAAACAATATGAATAAATAAATAAATAAAAAAAATAAGCTTGTTATGGTTTAAGCTTATACAATTATATCTCGAAAGCGCTGTTAACAATGTTATGATGTGTTAAGAGAGCTAAAAGAGTGGTATAACTTTTATCGTCATACCGATTACACTTTCTGATAATCACTTGTACATGTCAACTATGATTACACTTTATCGTTAAAATTTTTAATGCTGAAACACATATGGTTGTCTAGAAAATATTAAGCTTGCTTTTGCCCACAGCAAAGTTGTAGCAAGCTGCACGAACATAATTGGCGATAAACTGCAGAAAATGTGCATAATAATTTGACAAAAGCAGAGTATAAATGGAGATCGCTGATGCGAGTTTGCTTCGGGGCATTAGCTCGTTTGGAAAATGTTGTTTAGAAAGAAAAGTAAATGTTTATATGCGTCATGATATGTAATACAAACTAGTAAGAACATTATATTCGGGCGACGCCAACTATTACATACCCTACACCACTTCGCCTAGTACAGTTATTCGCTCCTTTTCTTGCACCATTCTTATGCAAAGCCATAGGTTTCATGAACGCCTGCATATTGAAAGGTTAGATTTTCTCTCCAACTAAGAGTTTGAGTTTCGCGAATCCGCCTATATAAGTAGAGATCCAAAAAAACATAGACCTATGTAATCCAACTTCCATTTATTTGTTTTGCTGAAACGCTCCTATAAGTTGTTAAGAGACCAAGAGATTTTTTATATGAATGGCTCAAATTAGGTCCACTTACTTTTTTTATTTAACTACTATCATAAGTAAATTTTCATCACAAAAAAATTACCAATGAAGTTTTTTTTCCAAAAAATAGACCAAGGTGATCCAAATCCGGTGAGATGGATTTTTTTTTATCAATTTACAATTATGAGCTAATCTTAATATATAAATATTAGAGGGACGACCTTTTTACCATATAAAGCTTTGGTTTCCGCAGGAACGGTTCTATGAGAGGAAGATGAAAAAATTGCTCCAACCGGTCCAAAGTTTTCATACCAATTTAGAATGCGGACAAACTACTACTTAATCACTTTTACCGAAAAAATTTTGGAAATCGTCATTGTTTTTCCATATAACGACTTTTCAGAATAGGACCTTATATGTGGAGTAGTCGAACCATTTTCAACAGCATTTGTAGTTGGGTGAAAACACGTCACTGTATCATATTTCATCAAAATATTTTAAAAATTACGACCTTTAGCTTAAACACAAATTTACATCGACAGACATCAACCGGACAGGCAGACAGACAGGCTTAGGATTCTGAATCAATCAGTATAATAAAAGGTGGGTTCATCTTAAACCCTTTTGCGACTTACATGCGACCGCACGAAGTTAATATACCCTTGTAGGGTATTATAAGTCCTTTTTGATGTCTTATGACAATAGTCAGCGAATACTAAGCGAAAACGTGTGACGTGTTTAATGGTCAGCTTTTTCCTCTTATAACGTTTTAACTTGTTTTAAATTGAATGAAACGAAAGCGATTATGTATCCGAAAAGACGAGAGATAGAAGATTTATACCATTTTCATTTATAAGGACTCCTTATATCTTGTTTGATATGAAAAATCCTTTGAATTGCATAACATTTTTCTATTCCATAATATTATTGTTAATATTGGCTTAGAAAATTTTCCTAGTTTTACAACTTCATTAAAATGTATGCTAATCTGAAAAAGTTTGTGCATTTACTTCATTATCTTTATCGTTAACAACGATGTAGGTGTGCATTGTATTTTTAATATTTTTTAGGATATAATATAACTACAAAAACAAAAACAACAACAGTAGCAGCAACAACAACACAAAACTATGTCATAAAATAAAAGAAAAACTAGTTGTTTGGTTTGTTTGTTTTTTTTTTTTTTTGCCCATAATAAGCTAATGTATCTTTTGAAGTCGTTGCCAAAAACATTTTCCAGTTAATCTACACAAAACACAACACAACACAACACAGCACAGAACACCTACACATCTGTTACCACCACATGTATATATAGTTAAAGATACTTAGAGATAAATGTATTTAGCATTGTTATCATATTTAATAGGACCGATGATGCAAATGTAGCCAAAATGTTGATATAAAGAGAAGGAAGTGAACTAAAACACATTATATAAAGAAATCTGAAAGTGTAGGATAAGAGGAATACGATTAAAAAAAAAAAAAAAAAAAAAACAAAAAAAAAAAAAAAAAAAAAAAAAAGAAGAAAAAATCAGGCCAAAAACTGCAATGATAAGAATGAGAAAATGCAAAGAAAGCATTATTTGTTATAAGTAATAGGGTTTGAGTGTGTTGGTTCCAGTTTTTTTTATTTTTTTTTATATATATATATATATATATTTTTTTTTTGTTATCTCGGAACTGGCAACAGTTTGATAATTTGGCACTAAAATCTTTGAAATGAAAATCGGGGATGTTACCACCGTCATAGCTTAAGCTTTAGAAACGGATTAGTTGCAAGTTAAAAAATAGGAGCAAAAGAAAGAAAGAAGATCCAACTGGCCACTAAGTGCAATATCATAAATATTCATGCATTTATTTAATGCAACTAAATGCGGTTACTTGTTGTTGGCTTAATGCCCATATAGTAGTCATGTATGCTAATAAGCGATATTCTCTCATTTTGAACACATTTCAGTACAATTATTTGATGGAGTTTGATTACCTACCGAAATCAGACATAGAAACGGGGGCATTGCGCACCGAAGAACAGCTTAAGGAAGCCATTAGAAATCTACAGGTAGGTTAAATTTTTTTTTTTTAACCACATTTGGCAAACTTTTAACAGTTAAAAAATGTATTTTCATTTTTTTTGTAAAGCGTTTTGGCAACATTCCAGTGACCGGCGAAATAGATGCCGCCACACGCAAACTTATTCGTAAGCCACGTTGCGGTGTAGGCGATAGTAATCAAACGACAACATTCTCACCGGATAATTTGCATCATAGTCATCGCATCAAACGTTACGTACTGCAAGGACCTAAATGGGATAAAACAGATTTAACATGGAGGTAAGTTAAGAAGTTTTCCATCGCTTTTAAAATCATTTTAAAAAATGACAAATAGAAGGGCACGACATCAAGAAGTGATGCTTTTAATAGCATAACAACTTATCTCTTCCACAATTTGCAATATTTTCAATTAATTTTAATGCTAAACGAACTGTAACGTGTTAATTGTAATTTTTATAGCGCAATTTCATAACGCAAAAGAAACATGAAAAGAAATCTGAATTAATTTTCATTACTAAATGCATGATGACGCTAAGACACCGCATTGATATAAAGATAACGACAGAAGATAGAAGAAGAAGTGACTATGAGAATGAGTCGCGGGCACAAGGGGTTAAAACTAAACGAAAGTAATACTCACCCCCTTGTATATTCAGAATGATAAGCATATACATGTATCTATGTTTATGCACATACACTACTTTCTATTCGAGGGTTAGTTTTAAAAGGAAATCTTTAACCTTAACTAGTTAAAGAGTGAACCGAAGCAAAAATTTTATTAACAAGATTTACTCCGCATTTATTTCGTTTCGTTTTTAACGTTAAGAATGCATTCGTCCTTTATGACATTCAAAAGTTTCTCGGTTTTTTTCTTTTTTTTTTTTTTTTCTTGCTCTAAATGTTAAAGTGTACACTTTTTCATCGTGCTTTACAATCTTTGTAGGAGGATATACTTTATATAGTATATGCTTACTGACGTAGACGAAGATTTCCATAAATTTTGCTTTCACTCGTAGTAGAGCTCGTTTACTTTCTCTTTCACTATTTAGCTCAATTTTCGTCTAGTGGTGTTTCCATGCGGAAAATACTTAAGAAGAAAAATTTGTTTTTCACTTTTAAACCTTTTCAAAAATATTAAAAAATATTCAGTACCCCGTCCACATAAAATGCATGCAATAGTATATAGTTTTCCTAATAAAGACCATTCTTTACTTCATTACTTCATTAAAATCAACCCTTACTTATGTAATTAAGTCAACGTTATCAGGCATTTTTCCATTTCATATATTATTTCACTTTACATTCACGGGACGACTCTCCTTTCTTCTTATTAGTAATTGTAAAGCAACCCATTATCGACGTATTATTTACAATTGTCTACGCGTTATATACAATTATTGATGTTGATTGGTTATAGCAAGTATTAATTACTGGGCATGTACCTGTGAAATCTTCCATCTTTCTGACTTTCTGCTCATTTTCATAAGACTTGAAGAGCAGCTCATCAAAGATTAGCAAAGTGAGCGAAAAGTCCTCATCTCAAATAGTTTAGCGTACGTTCTTAAGCAATTGAAGGCATAAAAGAAATTCACTAGTGGACCTAGCAGTCATATGTTAATCAGGCTGAGGAGAATCGGATCATGCACTGACAAGTAATACTTTGAGGGCGGGGGTAAATAAATTTTGAGGTATACTGCGTTCAAAAGGTGACACCAACAATATTTTTGTCATTTTTAAATCTGTTGGCTATTCCAATATTTCGCCGCCTTCAAAGTAACCCCCTTCAGAGGCTATACAATTATGCTAACATTTTTTCCAATCCTCGAAATAGTTGTTATAGTCGATTTCCGAGATGACCATTAAAACAAAGTTTTCTGCGATTCGGCTCGTATGTCTTCACTCGAGTCAAAACGTTGTCCCGGGAGGATCCTCTTAAACTTAGGAAATTGTCAGATGTCAAATGAACCTAAATCAGTTGAATAGGTTGCAAAATATTTTTTAAAATTTTGTTGACTCTTGCGTTCCGATTGTTAATCGATGGGTTTTGAGCTCCGAATTTTTGATATGTTTAACGTGACTTAAATCGGTAGAGGCGCATTGTCGTGCCGAGCGCTGTTCCTCTTCAATCCGAACTTGGCTTTCTTTTGAACTGTTTAAATAACTTGTCAATCTTTCTTTCCAACAAAGTCTGCCCACCAACGGTCGTCTGCAACATCGTAAACGTTTTTGCACAAGAAATTTCATTTCGCAAATTTAATGCAAATTCCTTCCTCAACAAAATCACGTATTGTAAACATAGGGAAGATCTACCCTTTTTTGTCATACATTGGTTTTTGTATGCACAGCTGAAACCCTAATGACTTTTCGGATGTGAAGTTTGACACAGATATTTGCAACAGCGCTGCTGTTATTCGATTTATTTGCGCAATTGAACTTGAATATTGGTCTTAGTTTTTGAACAGTGTACTATGTTTTTTTAATTTTATTTAATAATTCCGGGTAGTTTTTACACAGAGCAGATTGAAAAGAGTCTTATAGCAATTCAATCCAAGCACAGCCCGTAAGTACCGGAAAATGAGCTTAATACACTACAAAGCAATCCATCAATGCTGGAGCTAACAAATTATATGAAAAAGATTTGGAATTTGATGTGTAGTTAATAGAAAAGTTATCTTTTTCAAGATAGGTTTGCTTCACTTTTCCTCTACATACAAATTCTAGCATAAGATCGACAGTTCAGTTTTACTCATTACTTTCGGCGACACTATACATTACATAGTTTTAGTATGAGATAATTACAAGTTTGATGATGATAAAGCAAACACAGCACACGATATTAATACTAATGGTTGTTTTTGTTGTGGGCCCTTAAGAGCGTATTTATCAATTGTATGCAACTTTGTATTTCGTTCTCTTTCAGTTTTTTTTTTTTTTTTATTATTTTTTTCAAGTTGTTTTTTTTTATAAACTAAAGAAATGATGAAGTTGTTGTCGTTGTTATTGTTGTTGTTGTTGTGAAATCTTGTCGACAAGCATGTTTCAAAGTTCATTAAACATTTTGCGCCAAATTGAATTTTATATATTATACAAGTGTTAACGAATATTGCTTTTTTTCATCCAACTCGAAGCTTAGAGCGGAGAGCGAAGAAAAATGAAAAACTTGAATATTATGCTATGCTGCTGCTGTATTAAGCAACAGCTGATACTATAAAATTAGTATTTTATGCAAATTACATAATTAAGCATAAAAACATTGCATTGAGCTTTGTTTGCCTCCTTTTTTTTTATTTTTTTTTCCTCATTCTTTGTTGTCTTTTTTACTTTTTTCTTGTTTTTTTTTTTTTTTTTTTTTTTTTGATCGTTTAATTGTTATTTGCAAACGTTAGCCTGTTTAGGGTAAAGAAATTTGTCGAAAAATCCCAGAAACTAATATCATTTAAATTAATGATCTGTTGTTATAAATTTGTTTCGCTTAATTAATTATAAGATATCAATAGAAATATTCTCATGAAAGCGTACAAAATTGTTACGCTTTATCTATCCATTTAATGTGTATAGCGGAAATTGTCCATGTCCTGCGCATCTAAATAAATATTATATTATATGGCGATGCATATATATTCATATAGATGGCAGGTTCTTGTTTGTTAGATAAGTATGATGTGTACTTCTGTGTAGAGTCAGTCATCTATTATTGTTTATAAAACAGCTATTGAGGCTATCTACGTATGCGAAAATGTATGCGTTCTACATAATATTCAATTACATATGCAAACCTCATTCGCTCGCATATATTTTTGGCCTTGTCGTCGCGATCCTTTCTTGTTTGCTTTCTTGTCTTTCCCATTCTTTAAATATCATCTTTTAAAACAATTTCTTCCCGAGGACATCTGCTTGTGAATCCTATTTTGTTTCTCTTTCATTATTGTTGTGTGAACCTGTTTGGCCTTACAACAACGAAGTACGTATTTGAAGCAAATCCTTGGGCATGTACACTGGCATTTGCATTTCAATAATATCATCATCAACTCGATACTCATACATATGCATAACAACATACGAACAGCATAACCAACCATACTATCAAATATTGCCAGTATAACACCATACACAACTAAGTAAAGAACGAGACTAATTTCTTTGCTTTCTCTCTTTCTAACTACGTAACTATATTGCATTTCTACAAACAGCCAGTCATGGATTTGAATTTCATCGACGTACGGCATCAACTTAATTTAATAAACAAAACGTTTAGTTTTACTATACAAAAGTGTATATATATATATACAAAGCACACATATATATACACACGCATGCACACGCACACGCACATTTGCACGCCCAATTTAATTGCATTTTATAGTTTAATGCAATTATTTATGCTTATTTTAAATCACTAGATATGTTGTTATATATATGCTCATGTCTATCTATCGTTACTGTGGGTTGTGCGCGTACGGTCTGTAATGAAGCGTATTTTCTATTCGAAAACAAACATATTTATTTACATGCTTGTAAATACATCAACAGCACGTTTTATGGGATTTTTGTAAGGCATTCAGCCTTTACGTAACACGATTTCATTCATGTAATTAACTAACGCTAACGAAACTATACGGAAATGCTTTCAAGAAATTTTAAGAATTTTTGAGAGATTTTCCAAAAATCCCCGTTAGGCTTCATTGCACGCATCAAAACCACGAACTCTAAAGCAAGTCTTGATTTTTTAAGGCTCGTGGAAGAATACGATTGAAGTGTAAAAATAAATCTTTGGACTCGTAAAAGTCGTGTCTTCATTTTATACCTTAGGCTATCGAAAAACTCGGTATGCCAAACTTCGTGCTCATTACTTTTGAGGCATGAAAACTAAATCAAATCCCTCATTTATTTAATTTATATTAAAAGACATGCGATAAGAGAGAGATCCCTCAAGATATGTCCTTCATACGTAGCGATAAAGTAACGATCAGCAACGATTCTTTCTAGAGAAGAGAGGTTAGTAAGGAGAGGAAGTAATTCTTGTGAAATTTCGACTCGAAACTGGAAACGTTTGGAATGGTGAGCAAGACGGTCAATGACAGGAAAAGTCACGTATGTGTGTCGGGCCGAATGTGAATATATATAATCAACGAGTACGAAGATACGAGGATAGACATGTGTCCCTCGAATCTCCTGCGTAAAACGCTATTAGCCAAAAAAATTCTGGTGATATCTTTTACACGCGTATCCAAATATATATATATATATATAGCGAATAATGTGTTAGCCGAGGCTGATCA